TTTAAAAAAGAAACCAGATTTCTCCTAAGTTTTGTGACCAAGGCAGGGATAATGAAAAGTGGTCTTTTAGACATGTTCCTAACATTCCGAGCTAGAGCTGAATGAGAACTTTTCAATATTATTTTCCTCTTCCTTATTACCTCCCTGATATCTTAAATTATTTTTTCTACGGCTTTTCTATCCATCTGGCAGGTTCAGTAAGTAATGCATATTTTTAGCAATGTTCTGAATGCTCACAAAACCTGCCTGGGAACTTTCTGTACAAAGGCAGTGATGTTTGCTACCTTTGGATTTGAAAGTTCAATAACCAAATTTATGAAGAACCCACTTTATGGAAATTTGAAGAAGAAAAACAAAGAAAAAGTGAAGGCTAGGAGAGAAACATCATGTCTAATGCAAAAGAACCATATAAAGAAAAATACAGTATTTTCTAAAAATTAAGAAATAAACAATGAAAAGTATCATTAGATCTAAAAACTACAATCCTATAAATTTAAGAGTCCAAAGAATGGAAATATTCATGGTTTTTATTTATTTATTTTATTTCTTAGACTTATTTGCCACCCATCTCACCTCAAGGTGGCTCTGGGTGTCTTACAAACAATAAAAGCCAATGAAGCAATAAAAAATGTAATATAACTACAGTCATACTTTCAATTAAAACAATGGGGAGGAAGGGCACAAGATGTGTATAGGGGGAGCTGGGGAGCTACCTACTCCATTAGCTATATCCAAAGTACTACATCCTCTTTGGGCCCTAAGCTAGTTGTTTTCAAGGCCTTATGGAAAACCAGAAGGGTAGAAGCAAATCTCACCTGTGTGGGGGGGTGGGGTGGGTGTCCAAAAGAACAAGGCAAAAAAGGCTCTTCTCCTGGACCCCAACAGCTGAAATTCTTGGCTGATGAAGTCCACAGCATGCCCATTGGGCTGGCATGGGTGGAGGAGGCCAATTCCACTGAGTGAGACCCAATCCCATTTATTAATTTAAAATCAGAGAATATCACACAGAAAGCTTTTATTCAATATGTTGGGGGTAGTTTAGTTAATTAAGATGTCTAAATGACTAAAATTACTAAACATTTTCTAGTTGTGACTTTCTCTCTCTCTTTGATTTCAATGTGACTTAATAGGATTCGGTTCCATGATTATAGGGCAAAACAAGACTGCAGAAAGTCTTTTCCTGGGCAACTGTCAAATGGATATGAGCATAAAATTAACACAGTAACTATGGTTATAGATGGAACCCAATAGCAACCATATTTTTCATATGCATGAGTTTATTTATGACTAATTGATGCACTTGTTTATCTTTCTCTCCCAACAGTTTTATGAGATAATCAAAACAAAAAGACTCGTCCAACTTCATTTGAATAAAGCATATTAATGCAACATGCTACATTAACCAGCATAATGATTTATTGTGAAGTGCATCAATTTTAGAATTTACCTTGCTAATGTGCATCATTTTAATAGTAAGTCAAAATTTATGTTACATACAGAACAAGTTAAGGTTGGATCAAACTTAAATGGATCTAAGAAATGTAAAACAATACAATTTTTTTTAATATTAGGCAATGTAATTTTTGTTTCAGTATATCTTTTTCTGTATTAAAATATTTTAATTGACATACTCTGGAACATTCAGTTAACTGACATAAAAGCATTGTTTCAATCATGTTATAAATTCAGTAACCGTTCTTGATTAGAGATCAATTTGTTAAACTTCATAAGAATGCTCTAGAATCTTGAAAAATACAGAGCTTTTTAATTTAATCTTCCAAGTACAATTTCTGCATATGGAGATAATTTAGAGATACAGAACCAAGCATTCCTAAGCTTTGTTCAGTTTTGGTTTACAGATTATTATTTTGAAAGAACTATTGATTTTTCCAAAGGCCTTAGCTCTAATGTGAGAATGCACAGCAGAAGGCTCCATAATGTACAATGGAACGAAATGTATTCTACCTTCATCTGACATTACACCTTGCATAATAACATCACATATGTCATGAAACTGGCAGAATTTTAACTTTTCTTCCTATCTGAAAGATTAAATGATTAGATAACAGCAAAGTACTGTCTTAGAAAGGCAGAGCTGCTGCGAAACACAGAAGTCTAACATTTGAAAAGAGCATCTGTGTGAATGCATTACTATTTCTTTTTGACATGCCCACAGAACCAGTAGTATAAATGTTTGAAACCCACTACTGTTCTGAACATCTATGGTAAGTGATATTAAAACATGATCTCACAAGGAAAATAGATTTGAATTGAGAAAGGTTAAAGTTTCAGATTTTCTATAGTAATCCAGTTATAGGTCACAGAAAGCAGAATTAACACTGAAAAATGCCCATAAGAAAAAACAAGTCATTGAATCATTGGTGTTCTCTGAACTTGGCTGTTTGCTTACATATATTTCATAGCCCAACTTGATAACATTATCAGTGCTCAAGAGTGTGGGGCTCCCCCCCATTATACGGTAGCTCATCTGGCCAATATTGGTTGGAGTGTGGTTTTCTTCATGGCAGTTCCTTGAGTGCGGTATTATTTTCTATTTGATTGTTTGCCTAGTGTTAATCCCTTCTTATATGGGTTTTGGCTCTGGGAGGGATATGTTATAGTCTTTTTGTTTCCTCCATAGTCTTTTGTTATCTCTTTTGAATGGTTTGTAAATATGGTATATTTCTATGTAACTGTTGATCGTTAATTTGTCTGAATACCAAGATTCCAGAAATTCCCTGGCATTTTTGGATTGGTTTTGGATTGGATTTGGAGTTTGTGAGTTGAAAGTGTGGCTGAGACTGTCTAGATCAGAATGCATCCCCTCCAGTAGCCAATGCCCAGAATAAGCAAAGAAAATAATATATTTTTTTATCTTCAGGTATTCATTAAGGGAGACGTGCATTATGACATTGTGTTACAATATTGCAAAGCAAGTATGCAAAATAGCACTTAAATCATGGCATCATAATGCACATTTCATTATTTTGGCATTATTCATCATGGTTAAGAACAGTTGAATAAATTCTCATTTATGAAACAGGCCTCTTAAGCAATATGTCCAACATCAGAACACAGCTTTGTAGAAACACCCATGGTTGATTTATTCTAAGGCTAAATCAGTGAAAAGTCTTTGCAAGAATAAGTAGAAGAAACAAAATTTAGGCTGCTTTATGTATTTTATTGTAAACTGATGAATATTTAAAAAAAGAAAAAGGAGTATTTATGAAGACAACAGTTTGTGCATTCATTATATAAATTCTACTGTGCCAAATGTTTTTCTTCATGGTAAGTTAATCTTTAATAATACAGTTTTATGAGGCCCATGATTTAAAAATCATTTTATCTAAGATGCAAGTTATTAAAATACCAACCTGATCCGCCAAGAATGTCACATCAGTTGCTGTAAATTCGAATACACGTTTTAAGGGATTTAACTATTGGTCTTGGGGATAGATTGTTCTTGTGGAAGTTAATTTTATTATGGAAATTTAAAGAAACATAAAATTACTAGAAATACTGGAGGGACATTTTTTTCTAGTCATATATAGTATTGGGTTGAAATATTTATCTTGGTTTAGTTAAAGATTTAATGCAGGTTGCCAGTCAAAGAGCTGTGAGATAACAAAATTTAATGTGAACAACTACATTAAAAAATTGTCACAAAGCCTATATCCCTTATTTTCTTGATAAAGGAGAATTACCAAGCACCCCTCACTTATTTTCTTATGGAGCTATATTTTAACTGATCTCTAGGTTTGCTTTCTGCCAAATACATTGATTTCTGCTCTCCCCTCCTTGCCATCCCCACAGGAGGTATTTGATTTTCTTCATCTTTCTTACTTTGCTCTCTAACCTTACAGTCATCAATAAAAGTTTAAATCACAGAGCAACACTGTATTTTCCAAGCTCCATTAATTTCATTTGGTTTTATACACATGGAACATTGTGTTGGATTGCAGTCATTCTACTTGCACATTGTTAATTGTCTCTTGTGCCACACTGTTTTTACAATTTGTATAAACTTTTCTGGCCAAGACAAACTGACCTACTTTTTGCTTTTATATTAGAGAAGATGTCTTAATTTCATGGGTTTGCAAAAATAATCTTTTAAAATAGCAATCCTATCCTTGGAGTAAGAGCCATTGAATTTAGTTAGAGTGATTTCTAAATGGATTAGGATAGTGATGGCTAAACTTTTTTGGCTCTGGTGCCAAAAGCATGCGTGGGTGTGTGATAGCATGTACGCATGCTCATACCCATAATTCAATCCCCCCGTGTGCCCCCAGTGCATTCACGCATTCACGCATGCCCCCTGCTGCCCCACCCCCTTTGCATGCATGCATGACTCCCCCTTCTTCCTGAAGCCTGGGAAAGGTGAAAACAATCTCCCCCGGCCCTACAGAGGCCTTCCGGAACCCGTTTCCGAACTTCCGGTAGGCCCATTTTTCGCTGTCCCCTGCTTCAGAGGCTTTCCTGAAGCCTGGGGAGGGCAAAAATGGCCTCCCCCCGGCCCTTCGGAGGCCCTTCAAAGGTGAAAAATCAGCTGATTGACATGCACATGAGCGCTGACCTAGGGAAACGGCTCGCTTGCCCTCAGAGATGGCTCCACGTGCCATCTGTGGCACGCGTGCCATAGGTTCACCAACATGGGATTAGGATTACATCTAAAACAATAGTAATTTACCTGTTGTCCATCTGTTCCTGGGATACCAGGTGCACCAAATGAGCCCTGAAGAGAATCATAAATCTGAATTTAGCAAAATTATCAAACAGATCATGCAATTCTTCACTGTAGATATTTATATTTTGTAAATTATGCAACTTGATTCATACATTCAGCTTTCAATAGCATTGTTCTTTAAATTAACTATAAAGAATTATTCTTTTTTTTCCTTGTTGTTGTGTATACTGTTTCAGAATTACGAAGCAAAGTTCGTGTGCTAAAAATGAATTCAATATTTAAAAGTTTCTCGTAGTTTTAGAATACATTCCATATTCTATTTTTAAAGAATTACCTAAATGCCGCTAATTTTGATAATGGCCATCATCTAGATGTTATCAATATAGTCCTTTCCCTTTTTAAAAAATAAAGCAAAATACTGAACTGAAACATATATGCCCTTTTAAACAACAATATGAAAGAAAATAAATCAAGTTTATTTGATCCATCCAGTATCCAGCTACTTGTTGAAATGTTTTAAGGACCTTAAACAAAAAAAAACCTATGAATTAAAATGAAAAGTGTTCACTTAATTACCCCAGCATTTACTTAATGCCCACAGAGTTTACTTAATGACTGCTGCATATTGAAAAATTGGGTCAAAACACCTCAATTTACAATCACAATGACTTACAACCATAATTCCAGGGTTAATTAAATTGTCAATTAAACAAGTGTATAGCCTGCACTCCAAAAGTGGACACATTACTGCATAATTTTTATTAAGATTTTTTTATTATAATTTTATATGATTATAATTAATATATTAAAATTATACAATATTTTATTATAAATGGAATATAATACAACATAAAGTTAAAGAAAGAAAAGAGAATAAGAAGAAACAAACCACATTGATTATATTATGCTATTGTGATAGTAGCTTATGACTTTATTTTGTATCTTTTTAAAAAGAAAATACCACTTTTCAGTTATAAACAGAAGTTTTGTACATTTTACAAGTAACAATTATTTTAGTTTCCTTTAATTCCTTCTTGAACCCCTACATTTTATGAAATGTCAATATAACATTTTATTTTAAAGAAACAGTATTCAAAACAATTTGTCTTGAGTTGAGGATGGAGAGAGGGGGGGTTAAGTTGTTAGGCAGCTGCCTCAGAAAATTCATTTGAAATGTTTTTTGTATTCCTGCCGTATTTGAGTCCATAAATTGTGAATTCACTCTTTCATTGTCAATCCTGATGAATGTAAATAATATTGAAAACATTCACAGGAAGTCAGTTCTCTGGTTACTATAGAAATCAAATTATACTGGCCAGCAATCAAAAATCCATATTTCAACAACACCTAGAATCTTTTTTTTCTTACATCATATGGCAGCAATCTAATCAAAGACCAAACGAAATTCAAGCTGCATTTCCCACTATGTTTAGAGTTTGGTTTCATTATTTTACCAGCCTTCATGTCAGAACATTATAACTCTTTAACCGGTAAATTTAGCTAACAGACTGAAAAGAAACATTGCCCTCATCTCTATAACTAAGCTGTTGGTGAGGAGTTGACATTTTTCTTCTTCCTTTAGGTCAGGGGTGTCAAACTCAAGGCCCATGGGGTGCTTAGATCTGGCCTGTGGGGCCGCCCTTTAAACAGTGAAGGACCAGCCTGCGGTGCCTCTGCCAGCAAAAATGGAGCTAGGGAGGGCCGCTCTGTTTTCTCTGGCAGAGGGTTGCAAGAGGCAGTTGCAGGCAAAAACAGAGCTTCGGAGCCCGTTTTCACTGGCAGAACGATCGGGCCACCCCAGGTGCCCCCAACACAAGTGACATTGATCTGGCCACGCCCACCCTGGCCATGTTCACCCCAGCCCCCTGACATCAAACATAACCCTGAAGCGGCCCTCAATGAAATAAAGTTTGAAAGCCCTGCTTTGGGGGTGTATTTTGAGAAAATAGAACTCACAGACTAAACAGCTGCTATAGCATGGGGTACAGTAGTGAAAGCCCTTCATGCCAGTAGATTGTACCTTGGCACTAGGCAGAAAAAAAATCTTTCTTATCACAGTGTATACTATACCTTTTGTCCTGGAGGCCCCTGAGGTCCCTAAAAGGGAGAACAATAATTTAATATAATAATGTAGACAGTTTAAGTTTAAATAACTAATTAAAAGCATGTCCCATTGTGCAACTGTCTATCTGGAGTCAAAGTCAGTTGACATTTTGTACATTAGGGAAAACATAAGCATTCTGTAAAAATACAATAGGTATTTTTCTCTTCCTGAATATTAATTGTCTGCTAAATCCCTTTCTTCTTCTTTGGTTATTTTCTGTATTATACCCACTCTCTGTGTTCTTTCTATAGAGAATCACTGTTGAAATAAAAATCAATTTATAAACTTGATTGGTGCAGATATTTCAACTATTAACGTGAGCAGTTAAAGTGAGGAGGGAAATTTTACCTCTTGTTAATCAAATGATAATGGAGGTGATAAAGGTGAAGAAAATGGAAGTTTTGACAATTAAAAACAGAATTAGAACACCGTTTACCTCAGAATTGTGTGTAGAATTGAAGGCTTATAGAGGGAAACTTTGCAGTGTTAAGCATTACTATCAACTATTCCCATCCTCTAGCTGTGGAAAAATTGCAAATCAGAATTGTCTCTTAAAATGTGATTTATTTAGGCTGTTGTAATTGTCTCTTAAAATGGGATTTATTTAGGCTGTTGTAATTGCTGTTCTAGCAAAGGAGCCAGATTACAAAAATGTATTAATTAAATATATAAATAAATAAATAATGCATTGCGATGTATGAGTTTGGAATACAGTAGGCTCTCCAAAAATAACCTTTTTCTCTTATTACAATATTATAACATAATATTGACATATTTTTCTTTCTTTCTGTTCCCAGAGGGAAATGAATCATATACACTAAAAAAAGTCTTTCTTCAGCCAAAAAGGCTGCCTGCAGCAGTTGTGACTGGATATGCCAACTGTAATTAAAACCACCCTCAGAATGCATTTCACCGTTTATTCATACTGACATGTGTTCCTTGCTCTGTGAACTTGAAGCTCAGTGGGTTTAGTCAAACGCTAGCTATATTCTGGAAACTCTCTAGATGGCCATAGATGAGGTTTGGTACTTCAAGTCATGAATACTATTTTATTTATCATCTATTTCAGTGGTGGGTTCCAGATCCCGTAACAACCGGTACAGTTGGAACGGGCCTGGCGGCATCCACATGGACACGTGCAGTGTGCGTGCATGCGTCTCAGTGCCTCCATGACACTCCAGCTGCTCAGCGGAGCATTGCGCAGGTGCTGTACATGCCGTGCACGTGCGCGGAAGCACAGAAGACTCAAAAGACTGGTAAGGAGCTCGGGCGGGCAGGCAGGCCCACCAGAGTACCATACCGGAATGGTATCCGGTGCTCCGAGCTGACTCCGGTACACCCATACCGGGGCGTAATGCCTGCAACCCACCACTGATCTATTTATAACTTTCTCTCCTGTCTATTTTTCTATACACTCTTAGAGAGAACAAAGGAATGCAAGTTATTAACATACATGCAAATCAGGGGTGAGTTCCGGCTGCTGCTACTGCTGGTTCGCTCAGGGACACGCTTCGTGTGGGTGCTTGATGCACGCTATGCCAACATGCGCAGTACTTAAAAATGCTTCTGTGCATGTGCAGAAGCCAAAAACAAAATGGTGGCACCTATGGCGACAATGAGAAAACCAGTTCAGTGGCATGGCAGGCCAAGTTACTACCTACTCAGCTGAACGGGCTGAATTGGTAGGAACCACCTCTGGTGCAAACTGACTTAACCTGCTAGCTGAATAGCAGAGGGTACAATGCTAGTTTTAGCAAGCATGCTGCATGGACATCTTGCAGCTTTTGTGGAAGGAACATTTTAAAAGAATTTATGTTAGCATTTTAAGTAATTTGTTCTTGCGTTTCTGTTTTATTATTGGCTTATTTTGGTTTTTTTTTGGTAGTATTTTATAATAGTTCTAACAATTTAACATGCTGTTAAGAAATGGTACCCAATGTTTCACAAACAGGGACAGTTGTTCTCTGTTTTACAAGTAAGTGCTTTGGGCCTTCTGAAAGTATTAAATTCAGCATTGTGAAAAGTGAGGTCTTAAACTTGTTGGATGATGCAATCAAAAAAACTCTTTGTTATCAAATTTCAAGTGTCTGTTATTTAAATATCCCTTAATAAACATATGACTGAAAAATCTGCTTTTCCGTTGGGAATCAGCAGTCTTTCTCCATTTTTACCAAGTAGCAGAAGAGATACCTCTTCAATAGAAAAAGGTTAAAAACAATCAAACAGAAGCAGTTCTTTTATGCCTGCTGCAATTTAACCTTATGCCTTTCACAATTTAACATCCTCTTGATATGTAAAGGAGATGAGTAGACTGAGCCCAGGGGTGGAACCAAATGTGTTATCAGTTTGGAATAGCTACACTCAGACAAGAAATCCAAGTCGTCCCCCCGTCCACCCCCATGAATTCCGTTGCCCTTATTTAGAACCAATTTGGCTTGATTGTTAGTAGATCAGATTTTTGTATATACGTTGCAGTTAGTGCTTTGAACTCAACTCCTAAGCCTGGTTCTTGTGCCTAACAATACGTTAGGCAACAACTCCAATTCCAGGATTCCAGGCAACATATGAATTCTGGGAATTGTATTCTAAGATTTCTGGAGGAACCTGATTATAAATGTTTTTAGTCACAAATAAAAATCTGATAACATATGGAGTTTGTGCAGAATTCAAAACTATAAATCTGATATATTTAATAAATACATTTGGATTCATGTTTTGGTCCAAAGTGTTAATAAATTATTACTTCTGCTAAATAAAAGTATTTTTTTTCAAAAGTGGGCAAGAATCAGTAACATCTTTATTCTTCACTAGAGTTTCACATTTCATGTATAACAGAAAGGTTACTCAGAGACTGAGAGTGAGATGGGTGGTACTAAATTTTACAGACAGACAGACAGACAGACAGATAGATATAAATAATGTTTTAACCTTTTTAAATGAGCAGAAACAAGAGTTCTATCACCTTTTAAATTTATTTGCAAAACTGATAACTCCTGAGCATTTAACATATTCCCTTGATGCAAGAAATTGCTGATTTCAGTTATAGCACCTTTGCTCTAGAACAGGGTCCCTCTAGAACATGAGGGTCAAACTTGCTGTGTCACATTGCTGTCACGTGACATTTTGCGATGTTTTTCCTATTCACGGAGTTGGGTAGGTGCAGTGGTGGGTTTCAAAAATTTTTGGAACCTGTTCTGTAGGTGTGGCCTGCTTTCCGGGTCCACTGGTGGAACCTCTTCTAACTGGTTCGGTAGATTTGATGAACCGGTTCTACCGAATAGGTGTGAACCGGTAGGAACCCACCTCTGGGTAGGTGTGGCCTGGGCGTGATGCATCTGGAACATCAGTTTGACATTCCTGCTTTAGAAAGTATGCTGATTTCAGATGGCCTTTTGAAAGGTAGTGAAGCCTGAATGTTTTCAAAGATTTCTGGCCTATCATTGTTCAGTACTGTATTTTGGATCATACTCTCTAGTACTTTGATTTTAATTTGTTATGAATTTATCATTAGATTATTATTAATGGATGTTTCCTATATTTATGTCATTTCATGTTGTTGTATGCCATTGTGAAACTACATAATTTGAGAGCAAATATGTTCCATGATCAATGATCATAGTAATAAGAATATACATTCTACCAAACAGAAAAATGAAAATATAAACAAACTTACCACCAAACCTTCTTCACCTGGTTTTCCAGGTTCTCCCTTACAAACACAAGAAACACAAAATAATGATAAATACAATTAATAAGGAGATGAATAGACAAAAATGATACTCAGCATAGGTCCATTAATGACTATTAACTGTGAGGGATTTCATGGTTTTCATGTGGTTCTTTCATGGATCTTACATGGCAGAAGCGGGAAGTTACGGCACTCATGCTTTCTTTGCATGCATCCAAAACATATACCCAAAAATATTATAGAACATTGGACTAAACAAATAATCTAATCCAAAATGTATTGATGTTTTCATCTTCATTATATGGAAAAAATGATGATTCATATGCCTTTTGGAGTATCAGTTATTATATTTTTCTAGGAAATTCAAGTATGTATGCCATTTCCTAGAAACTCAAGTGCGCCTAGAAATAACACAAATTCCTGATATTGCAGATTTTATTTATTTATCCGATGTGATCTGCATGCATCGGCATACTTCAAAATACACCAACTAAGATAAAATAAGAAAAAAACTGACAATAAAAACAGATGGAGAAAGAGGAGGGAATCAACCCCTTACTCCCACTCCAAAATTCATATCCAGTGAAAGGGCCCCAATAATCCTATTCCTAGTCCTGGGAGATCAACCAGATCATTATGGCTCTTTGGAATGGCACACTTCCAGGGTACTCATAGATGAGATTGTTTAATCAAATTTTTATACTATTTAATTGGATTTTGCTGTGTTCTAATTGCATCCACATTTTTAATGAAGTGTTAAATAATAAAGTAAAATTATCCTGATTCTGTTTTGCTAAACAACCAGTTTTTTTTATTCAAATGGGACATTCCAGAGTACATCCTCTAGTTTACTTTGCTTAATTTTTTTATCTACATTTATTTTGTCTTGTCACTGTTTATTTATCTTATTTTATTTCATTTTGTCTTATCACATTCTATCTTATTTTATTGTGCATGTCACTCATTAATTTTTGATATGGTCAACTAATCATAAAATTACTTATATATAAAATTATAATAAAAATATGGTAGGGATAGTTTCCCAGAAGTTCTTTCTCCTACCATACTTCTGATTAAGTTCATGTATTTCCTTAGAATATTATTCTTACAGAACAGGAGAACAGAATACTATTTACTTACTAACACTAACTTCCTGGACTACTAACTTGTAAAAAAATATCAAAATTTTCAATGCAACTTTTCACAGAAAAATATTTCCAGCATATCTTAAATGTATGAATTTAATATGGAGATTAAATATAACTATATAAATTTAATATGAATTTATGAGGTTTCTTCTGGCATACAAGTCTCTTGTATTACAATATGTACAAAATGTAACCAGAATAGTTTTTAAATTATTATTCTATGTGTGTATCATTAACCATGATAAAAAATAGGAAAAAAATAAAAAATAAAGATGTTAACATAACTTGTCATTAATATACATTTCTATAATTGAATGACTGCGCTATAATATTTTTGTTGGATAAATTAAAAATAATATTAAAGTGCCATTACTTCCTTTTTCAACAAAAGGTTATTAACACTACAGGGTTTGTAAAAAAAAAGTGTTCATCATCTTTGCTAAGTCCAACACTTGCTTTTCAGATAGATATTCTGAAATGAGATAAGTCAGTTAATTGCCTGTCGATCTACACCTCTGATGTTAATGTATGATGCATAAGTTGTGTAATATCTATGATGACCAACTCACCGGTACCCCGGGCACTCCACGTGGGCCATCTTTGCCAGTATCTCCAGGAGGGCCTCTTGGTCCTGGGGGCCCAGGGGGTCCAGGGGGTCCAGCCTGCCCTTGATCACCCTGAACACCCATCAATAAGACCAATGTTAATATATTCAAACAATCCAGTATAACAAAAAAAGAATGTTGAAGAAGTCATGCATACAAAAAAAAAAAAGGTCAAAATACAGTAATTGACTGGCAAGTCAGTCTATGAGCATAACTAATTGCTCATATTTATAACATACTGGACAACCTGTGGCATGCTGGGTCATCATTTCAAGGGTATTACCTTACCTAAACAGAGGGATCATCAGTTGATGCAGGAGCAGGGATGACTTTTGATTTCCTGTTGCCTTCTCCATTGACTTTCATTGTGAGAAGCTGGCAGATAGCATTGAACCCTCCTTCCCTTCCCTTCCCTTCTCTCTCCTTCCTTCCTTCCTTCCTTCCTTCCTTCCTTCCTTCCTTCCTTCCTTCCTTCCTTCCCTCCCTAACATATTTTAACAGCAAAAAACTGATTACTTCTCAGAGAAGACAAGGAATTGGATTTAGGCTTGCAATTCCTAAACAATTGTTACCATTAATTGTGCATAATCACTTTCTGCTGATGGCTACTCTTTTTAGGCAAGAACACGGCTTCAGTTATTCTTTTTAAAATTTCTGTTGGATTATAACTCTTTGTTCTTTGTAGCCTCTGAAGCTATTTTACAAACTGCATCAGTCATCTTGATTAGAAAGTGACAAAATGCACACGCATAATAAGGCAAGGCACTCTTAAACCATAAGTAAGCACACTTTTAACAGCCAAGTAATAATCCAACAGAGAATGTTCACGAAAAAAAATGCTTCATTTGTACATGACACAAACTAGAATGATCTTGTGAAAGTTCTGCATTTGAAGAATACACAGAGATTATCTCAGATTTACTGCTCCCAAATTTCACACACAGTTTTCTCCGGGGGATGGGGGAAATGGGACATTTCATTGGGTATTGTATTAAAAGTTGAGCAATTAGAGTTAGATGGAGGCTTTTATGATAGGTTACGAAATTAGTTCATGAGGTTCAGCAAGTGAGCATTGATTGACATCTAAAGGGTCAATGAAATGTGACTTCTTGCTGAAATATGAACAACTTTTTTAAAACTTTAAATCTAACAGTTAAATATTTAATTTATTTTTAAAGCAGTCTTTTCATAAGTACAATTAAGAACAACAACTTGAGGTACTTCAGTCTACCCCCTTCACAATGCATCATGTTGAGTAATTAACTGCTAAATTAACAATTACTTTTCCTTCAACAATATTGGTTTATTCAATTACCAATTAAAATTAAAAAAACCTCACAATTGATAAAATGAATGAGCACTATACAGTGAAACCCCATAAGTTTTATTCGGCTGTTGTTGTTGTTGTTTTAAAAAAGCAAACCTCCATTTCATTAATAGTAATACAGTTCAAAAAAAGCCTCGTCAATACTTATAACCCAGCAATCAGCTGCAGGCGAGAGAATGGGAAAAGTTCAGAGAGAGATGAAGCACTACCTTAATGAGGCGGCGTTTAATGAGCTGCTGATCAGCAGAAAGAAACCCATGATTGATTTTAGGAAACACCATCTGATCAGGCAGGTGAGGTCAAAGGTTGAAGTGCAGAGATGAAAGAGTTGAAGAACAAACATCAGAAGGCACCAAAGAAGAAATAGAAAGATATACATTAGACTTATAATAGCAAATATAACTCCCAACTGGTGCTTCTGTCTTCAGAAGAATCTATGCTTTGTTTTAGAATTATTGCAAAGATGCAGAAGGTGGGAGGTAAAACCTCCGTGGTGTTGTCCTTTTATGGAATAAGTAGTGATGCAAACTTGCTCTCAAAATACCTAATTAGACTCCAATTTTAAAATATTTCTTCAGAATCTGGAAGATCAAAATGGAATGTTTCTATTTCACATCATGAGCAAAGATTCCAAGAGACAAAGCACTAGTTCAGACTCAGTCAGACTTTCCAAATAGCATAGGATGCCAGGTCTTTTAAATACTGGAGGCATAATTGCCTTCTGGTCCCTAAGTAGCTAAAATGATGGTTAATTTTTAAAGAATGCAAGGGCGTGTCACTATAACACTACCAAGACAAAAAAGTGGTGAATATTATTAGGTAGTTTCCCCTCACACATATGTGCTAGTCATTCTTGACTCTAGCGATCAGTGCTCTTCTCCATTTCAAAGCCGAAGAGCCAGTGCTGTCCGAAGACATCTCCATGGTCATGTGGCCAGCATAACTGAATGCCAAAAGTGCACGAAATGCTATTATCTTCCCACCAAAGGTGGTCCCTATTTTTTCTACTTGCATGTTTTACATGCTTTTGAACTGCTAGGTTGGCAGAAGCTGGGACAAGTAATGGGAACTCACTCCATTATGCAGCCCTAGGGATTTGAATCACAGAACTGCCAAACTTTCTGATCGACAAGCTCAGCGACTTCGCCACTGAGCCACCGCATCCCTGTGAATATTATTACTAGAATTTTATACATTTTAAAAAATCTTTCTGATTCCTTTATAAGTAGGAATTTGTTTTGGCCATTAAAACTATTTACATATAAGTTTGAGTTTTATCTAATGCAGTTCTGACTGATCTCTCTGCAATGCAACATTGAAGAAATAAGGATGATAAGGGAGGTTGGGCTGACTGGCTTCTGAAAGCAAATTCATTATCCATGACATCTTTATGCGATATGGAAAGACTGGCTGGCTGATGCGTGTTGGCCACAAACCTTGACGGTGAGGATCTGATTACTGTGAAGGGCAGCAACTGTGGGGAAGCCTGGCAGGCCCTAGGAACATACACACACACAGTACCAAAACAACACGACACAAAACGTCACACACAGAATGGCAATTTAACAACAGACACAAAATTAGGTTTATAATCAGATTTGTTATAGATGGTGGCATCTTATGCATGTCATTTTCTTTTGAACAAATATGGAGGGCCGCCAGTATTAAACAGGTCACCTAGAAATATATACTATGAAAGGTAAGTATTTGAATACCAGTGCCTTATTTATTATTCACAATGGCAATAGGCCACCTTTTTCAGAATAATGTTATATTGGGGATTAAGTAATGTTAAATTATATATACAAGTGAACAACAACTTGGAAATGATGTATCTTTTAAAGTTTAATAGGTTTATTTTGTTACCATGCAACATAAAGCACATAAAGTATCAGTGACACACAAACATACACATACTGTACATTAAATTGAACATTTTACTATGTTGGAACTAAAGAGTTAAAAGGTGTATGTTTCACATTAATCAGAATTGATTTTTTTAATATCTTTACAAACTATGAGAATATTATCAGATGCAAGAGAAGATATGTACATCTGATTTCTTCCAACTTTCCAGTTCTGTTTTTGAAGATAGTGAGGAAGCATAAATAGATTTTAAAAAGGGATAAAATTTCACACTTATTTGCTGAGTATACTTTTTTTAAACAGCCAACCATTCAACCATTCAGGAGAAAAACATACAAGTGTACATACAGTACATTTACAGATAACTCCCATGCATATCAGTGTGGCAATAATTCCTACGAAATGTATGAACTTAATACCCAAGCAAATAGTTATAGGCGTTTTAAAAAGTTCTTCCAAATACACAGAACACAACAAATTTTGTAGAATTACTCCAAATATTTGCCAAATGCAGGACTCGACTATTACAGGATTCCTAACAGATGGCAATCCTGCCTCTGTTGAAATACAACTAGCAAAGGAAAACCCACCATTTTCTGAAGCAGACTATAGCAACTTTTAATAGCTTTTAGCATTAGGATTTTTAGTTTCTAATATCCAAATGACATCAACTTCCTTAAAAAATAAACCCATTCTTATTTTCCTGTATTCTAGAACAATTGTGAGTATACAAACTACAGAATAACAGAGTTGGAAAAGACCTTGGAGGTCCTCTAGTCCAACTCCCTGCCTAGGCAGGAAACCCTACACCACTTCAGAAAAATGGTTATTCAACATCTTCTTAAAGACTTCCAGTGCTGGAGCATCCACAACTTGTGGAGGCAAGTTGTTCCACTTATTAATTGTTCTAACTGTCAGGATATTTCTTCTTAGTTCTAAGTTGGTTCTCTCCTTGATTAGTTTCCATCCATTGCTTCTTGTCCTGCCCTCAGGTGCTTTGGAAATAGCTTGATTCCCTCTTCTTTGTGGCAGCCCCCAAGATATTGGAACACTGCTATCATGTACCTGCTTTATGTTCTACACGGAAGTCCTTCAGATCCTTGAAACCAACAGTCAGGTCCTCGTACAATCTTTTCTTTTCCAGACTAAACATACCAAATATATCTGAATATTTCTCATAGATTCCCCCATCCCCAAATCTTTTATCATTTTGATTGGTACCTGCTGAACACACTCCAGTTTCTTAGTGTTTGTCCTAAAATGCAGTGTTCATGGCTTGATTTAGTATTTAAGTACAAGTTGATTAATGTAAAATAGAAAGGAATTTCTTTGTCTCAGCATAATATTTCTATTATTGCAGCCTAGGATTGCAGCTTAATTTGAAATCATTATCTATACTCACATTTGCTATCCACTCTGCATGTTTTTAACCATATTTTGGTCTTTTCTCCTAGAATCTTTATCAAATGCATTGCAGAGGCTGCTCTATCACTGCACTCAGTTAAATTGGGCACTTTATTCCACCTCCCCCGCCCCCCATGGTGTGAGCAGAGGGGAGCATCTTTGATTAAAATTTTCAGTAACTAGGAGGTTCTTTCATTAATATTTCTAGTGGATTAAGATGTCTTTTAAGTAACAAAGCAAACTCTCCATGAGGAATGTAGAATCTGATAGGAACTGGTTCAAGCCTGCCAAGGACACTGACTTAGAAATAGAATATAGAATAACAGAGTTGGAAGTCCAATCCCCAACTTAGGCAGGTAACTCTACACCACTTCACATAAGTGGCTATGCAACATCTTCTTAAAAACTTCCAGTGTTGGAGCATTCACAACTTCCGGAGGCAAGTTGTTCCACTGCTTAATTGACTTGAAGTTTAATAACCGGCAAACTCCTAATGTGAGAAACACATTAGCTAGCTGAATAGCTAGCTGAATATTAACAATCAACTAAGAAATTACAAAATGTTACATGCTACGTACTAGAACCTCTGAGCATGTGTGTTGTGCCATAAATGTGTCAAATGATATTAACCAATGAAAGAACTCATCCCAAAACCAATATGTATATTAAGTATATTCTCCACCTTTCCAAGGGGCTCCTCTACAGACTGAGGTCCTTTGCTTGTATAAATAAGGAGTAGATTTTTAGTCTGCCTTCCCAGCTCAGGTTGTATTTGGGCAAGGCACAGTGGGATGAATGTTTATGGCAAATACCACAAAATGAAATCAGATGATTTTGGAACGATTTCTTCTTGATAAATCAATGCTGAGCTTACTAAGCAATAAATTATTCTCTAAAAAATCACAAGCCGGCTGTTTCTTAATCTATGTCAGAGTATTGTTCGTTATTAGTTCAGCAGTCTATAATTAAATGGGTTATCTTTTATAGCGAGAACAATATTTGTCAGTCTGCAATTATGTGGCATTGTTCCTGTCTCCTAAGCAAGAGGCTTCCAGGTGACATCTGCAACTCATTCAAGATCCTTGAAATGATCTTAACTTTATTCACTATAGCTAGTGAATAAATCACCTCTTTTCTTAACTTGGATTGCCACTTCCTTGTTAACTGTTCTGCTTAAATCAGTTTAAGTACAGTTCCCATTATAATCCGGCTGATATCTGCCCAATATCATCTATTTTTATCTTAGCAGCATGCCCATTGTTCTTTCGTCCTTCATTCTACTATTGTTCTTTTTATTTAAAAAAAGGAAATTTTTGTTAATGTTCTGCATATTATTCTCATCTGCATATTCCATTTCTTATACATGTCCTTTTTAAAACCTAGGTCAGTTGAAAGCACCTTATCATCCTCAATAATTTCCTAAATTTCTCATTTTTCCTCATGAGAATTATATGACATTTTTCTTTCAGTATATTATTTCTGAGAAGTTCTTAGATTTACTGCCTTCTCTTTGACCTCTGGGTTTTAGTCCATGGGATTTCACCTAGCAACTTCTTTGCTGAAATTGTCTGCCCTGAACTCCATTTATGTGTCAATGCTTCAATTTCTCTTTCTGTATTATTCTGAATCTCAAGAACATACGGTCATTGTTCCCAAGGTTTTCATTTTTCCTGCTTCAACAAGCTTCTTGTCCTAGGATGATGTCTAAAAGAGCCAATCGCCTTCTCTGCTTTCAAACTTCTGAAAAATTAAACAGTCAACACTGAGATGTTTGGGCATCTTGGAGTTTTGGTCAAGTTGGTTTTAAAACAGACACTTGGGTACTTATAAGTCTTCCATTCTACATCTTTCCTTCTGAAAGTTTTGTAATCTGGTCCAGGAAGACATTATCTTCTGCCTAGGTTAGGCATGATGTATAATACACCCTCATAATAAAAAGTTTCTTTTTTTGTCCTTCTTTACATTCCTATTCATTCTTATGTTCAAACTCCTGCATTTTAAACCATATGTA